TAAGATATTGATGAAGAGGAAATTAGCAATTTGGAAGGCAGATTTGAGGACCTTAACGAGGAAAGAACTTAGGAGTCAGAGTGGGAAGAATGACAAGGTCCCACTTTAGGCTTCCAGGATAAAACAGGGAGTGCATGGGAGGAGGGAAGTTGAAGAGACAATGACTAAGAATGCACTAGAGTTTTTAGTACATGTTTATGGTATATAATGCTTACATGCCCTGTGGAAAATTGGTACATGTGCATACAATATCTTAATTCTCCTTTTTTGTCATCCTGCTTCCCTTTCTTCCCTCCTTTCTCCCTTCATCTCTCACTCTCTGTCTTTTGTTTTTGTTTTTGTTTTTTGAGACAGGGTCTTGCTGTACAGCTCAGGCTGCCCCTGAACTAGCTATATAGCCCAGGTTGGCCTCAAACTTGCAGCAATCCCCCTGCCTCAGCCTCCCGAGTGCTGGGATTTCCATTCATCTCTTGATCCCCTTCCCATTTTTTGTTCACGTTTGTAATACGTAATATTTACATTCCTTGTGTGCAGATGGTGCATGGACATGACGCACCTTAATTCCTTTTCTCATCCCAATGAGATCAGTTCTCCTTTTAAAGTAGGCTCCTTGACTAGGCTTATGATCGGAATAGGACACTGGTACCCAAATGGTGAAATATATAAGCTGCTCAAATGCTGTTTTGCTGAGGATACCGATGATCTCTATAGCTAGCGTCTACTTTGCAAATGCAATAGAAAAAGCAAAAGAAAATGGCTTCACACAGGTTCAAAGAAGATGAGAATAAAGTTAAATGTATGTAAAGCAAGAATTCCAATTTCGAACTTGTAAGATGTCGGATGGCTGATTCTTGCCACTAAATGCCTGGTTCAGTCAGTCCCAGAAACTTACCCCTCTCCTAAGCACCAAGTGATTCATTATAGGTTCATCCCTCCGTGAAACACAATTCCAGCCCACGCTTACATCAGTATCCTGTTATTTTTAATCTTGTGCTTAAGGAAGAAGATACTGGCTCCTGCAAGGAGGGGTTGCCTGTTTCTGTCCCAGTGAATGCATTGCCTATCCTCCCCATGGCCAACTCATTTCTTGAGATAGACACTAATGTCAGGAGACATTTTCAAAGCCCATTGTCCAAGAACTATAACTTTTTTTTGGTATACTGGGAATCGAACTCAGGACCTTGTACTTGCCAGGTAGATGCTGTGCCACTGAGCTATGTCCCTGGCCCAAGAACTGTCATGTTTAAACTAAAAGAAAAATTGAAACAGAGGAGCACAGTCTTTGAGAGAAAAGACGTAATTGTAGTAAATTATTTTTAAAAGTCATTTTAAGATGTCAGAGTTAATGATTTTGCCAATTGAAGAAAACAAAGATATTCAAAACTTACAGATCAGTTCAGTGAAGGTTCAGTTTAGAATTTGATTTCTACTATGCAGACAAAACTGATGTTGGTTTTTTGGGTTTTATTTGGGTACCAGGAATCAAACTCAGGACCTTGTGCTTGCCAGGAAGGCACTTATGTCACTGAGCTACATCCCCAGCCCCAAAACTGATCTTTGGATATAGATGGTGTAACTGAGCTAGCACAGATAGCCCTACCAGATCTTGATCCAAATCCTGGTTCTCAGCAACCTGGCTGTGACATAAACCCCTTTGAGCCCTGATCTCCAAAGGGTATATGGTAGGGTAAATATTGGTGATGATCTATATAACTTGCTATCCCAGTTATTAGTATTACTCATAATAATTACTGTTGTCATTTCTCTTCTCTTACCCCTAAACAATAAGATGGAAAATATGATGGTATCATCTTATACCTTTGTTGTGAGGGTTATCACATTAGACGGTAAATAGGCTACATAGTGAGTGCTTATGATGTGTGCCAGCGTGCTTTCAAGTACTTTACATCACGTCATTTAATCCTTTAAACAATGCTGTGAGGTTCTCCTCATTTTACAGATGGAAAAGCTGAGGCTCGGAGACATTAAGTATACAGTATGGTTGGCAATTGCAGTGGATGCTTAAATTTTTAAAATGTACTATAGTAAAAGATACACTACCATTATCCCCGCCCCTTGAAATATTCTCTCTCACTTCAAACACTCATTCTATGGTTCTTGTCACTTTCCAAAGCAGTGTGGGTTGTCCTCTTTTGTAAGTTTCTGTAGTTGTGCTCTTGTGGCTACGTTGATGTCCAGAATGGTTCAGTTACCTTTATACTCATTTTGACTTTGGGGAAGAGCTAGAAGTCACATGGTGCCAGGTCTGGTTAATAAGGTGGATAAGGACACCCCGTAATGTTTTCATGAGTCTGTTTTTCCACTGGATGCCTTTTGTAGCTGCATCTACCATATTTTCAACATGCCTTCAAAAGATGTGAAAGGAAACTTCCAGAAACTTCCAGAACTGCTTCAGAAAGTGGCACTAATGATGGTACAAGTGTGTTCAAAGTCGAGAGGGTGTCACACCGACGTAAGGGTGGAGGGTGCACTACCGAATGTGAAGAGCAGACACACAGTAGAATTTCAACACTAGGCAGTGTGCATGATGTGTGCAGAAAAACCTTTCCTAAGTGGCTGTTTTTGGGGTGATGGCTGGATGGAAATTCCACACCTGTCAGCACTCTAGTACTGTTAAAGTTTGTTCTTTCCTGGTGCCCTGGTTGACAAAAAAAAAAAAAAAAAAAAAAAAAAAAAATCTCTGAGCTACAAGCTGCAAACAAGAGAGGATATATGTTTAATTAGGAGTTGGGCCAAATCCATCCCTTGCGGTGCCCAAATTAATGATAACTGTCTATGAAGAAACCAAATACTTGTTATACTTAGAACATTCCCACTTTTAGTCCTGAGAGAATGATAATGCAGCCTGATCTCAGATGCATCTTTGTAGGATAATCACGCACTCAGGACTCACACTGTAATCTTAAGACTGGATTTGCAAGGAAAGGCCTGTCTCATAAGTTATTTTTTGATGGACCGGCATTAGACACAATAAAGGCAGTGATATTTGAGTTGATCAGGGACAGATGTTTAACATATTTTATGTAAGAACTGTAGACCCAGTGGACTGCCAAAACAGGCTATTTCTTGAAACACTGGACAGATGGAACGAAGCAGAATACTCCTGAGTGGTCTGAACGCCTCAAAATGACCCTAACTTTAAAAAAATAATTAATCCTGATTAAAGCACTTCAGTGATTTTCAGTTCTTTTTCTCTGTACTTTGTTCACTCTGTCTGCAAAGGTATTTGGGATATAAAAAGTCCCTCTGTGTGCATGTGTGTGTTATATATGTGTGAGTTACGCATTCCTGCTTTCAAAAACATACTTGGTTTTATTTTCTTTCTATCACTCACTGTGGGAAAAGAGTCTGTGCTCTGCACGTTGTTGGCTGTCTCCCCAGCATCTGCTCCCTTTCGGATTTCCATTTAGGGACCTGACCCCACTCCCAGCTCCATATCTTGTCGCTCTTCTGCTGGGAAACCTCTTTCCTATTCATGGTAAAAAGCCAAAGTTTCCAAGGGAGTGAACACCTCAACACGGTCTGTTCCCAGGTCACCCCTACCACCTCTCCTGTAGCTATACCGACTCCCCTCACTCTGCTTTGCATTGGCCCCTGCTGTTCCTCGACTATTCTGGGCAGATTCCCCCTTCCAGTGCTTCCTGAACTCCTGAGTTGTTAGGGGACATCTCTGAATAAAACAGATGAGGACCTTGACTGAGTTAATACCCCGTCAGCCCCTCATTTTGCACACAAAAAGAACATTCTGATAAAATCTGATTAATTTTAAGCCTTCACTATTAAATGTTTCAAGAGGAGTTTGCACCAACATTCTGCCCTGGCAAAAATTTTAGAGGATGTGTATGAAGCCTTTCTTCTTTGGTTCATAAAGAACAATGTGTAATTCAGTGGTGGAGAGAAGGCTTTGTTGAAAGCAGTTGAAAGTTATTTACTGGGTGGGGTTTCAAGTCTTGTTGCGTTTACACAGCGTTGGCTATTCTGCTGATACTTAATGAAAACTTAAAAACAAAACCATCTGGACAGTGTGCCAACCGATGCTGGCTTTACCGGCCCAGCTTTCTGGCTTGCCTCAAGTAATTTTAATAAAGTATGTTAACTCAAGCAGGGTCATGAAAGAGTTCTTGCTAAGTAATCTAGATCTGTCCACTGCTATAACAGTTTTGGGAATAGGCCAGTGCATTTAATGGAGTACTTAATACTCTAGGAGACTTAAATTTTGATAATTGTACAAGAAGCTATACTTCAGATATATGTTCCTAAAATGATGCATTTTCCCTAGAATTCCGATGGTTGCACTTTAAAGGAGCTGTGGTTACCAGGATCAAATTTAAATAGTTTGCAGTTTGCAGATGACCCCAAATGAAGTTTCTGCAGGGAACAGTTGGGAGGGAGGGTGCTACCTCTTTCTTGAGTATGCCCTATAATGATTCTGTTTAATTTCCTGTTGTAAAGAAAGATCTTGAATGGAATTTCTTCTCAAGGGATTGTTTGGTTTAAACCTGATCCTCTTGAATACTTTCTTAAATCCCTCCTTTGAGGATTTGGACTCTGGACTCACCTGAAGGTATCATTTCAGTTCTTGGATGAGAGACACACTCTTCATCATTCCAAAGCAATCCCAGAGAGTCCTTCTCTGTCACAAATGGCACCAGCAAGTGTACAAAGCCCACTTTGTTCTGTGGGAAATGAAAATGTATTTTTAACCGTGTATCATTGGGCTGAAATAGGAAGACCCTCCACCTGGACATTAACTCAAGGCAGAATCGCTAATGTTATTAGCGGTCAACACTGCTGTTTATGTGGTTGGTGTTCAGGGTATTTGGGTCTCATTCTATTCAATAACATGATACCTGTACTTACTAGCAACCTTGATCTGAACTTCTTGCTATTAAACTCAGCTAGGAAAATTAGTATTCAAACCAGAGAGTTGAAAGTCAAGACCTTCATTTTTCTTTCTTTTTTTTTTTTGCCTTGGGCAGTAGGTGGAGCAAAAACCTCCCAGTCCACCTAAACAAATTCTTCCTACTACTCACTGGAAAAATAATCCAGTGACAACAACGGAAGAGCCAGTGTTCAAGCAAATTCTTTTGGGATTACGTGTGTATCCGCTTACCAACCCAGGTAAGGATGACACATTTTGAGCCACAGCACATGAGATCCATGCAAGTCTAGTTACTGGAAAGTTATAGGCTAGACACACTGCTCATACAAATAAGAATTTCTACACACTGTGAAGCTGAGCAAGCAGTCCTAACAAACTCAGTGAACTATTGTCAGATACAGCTAAGAGTAATTTATAATAAAAATGAAGTCACATAAATCACCAGTAGGAGAATTAAAAATGACAGTCAACTAAGATGCACAGTATGCTATATGAGGTATGATCATAAAATATGGTGAATGTTTAAATTAAAAATTAGGGGCTGGGGATTTAGCTTAGCGGCAAAGCGCCTGCCTGGCAAGCGCAAGGTTGTGAGTTCGGTTCCCGGTACCGGAGGAAAAAAAAAAAAAACAAAAAAACAAAAAAACAAAAAACAAATAAATTAAAAATTATTACAGTAAAAACAGTGTCATTAGTCCCCCTCAACATACCCGCCTCAGTGCAAACACACTTATCCCCCTTGCCACTTTCTGAAGCAGTTCTGGAAGTCCTTTTGCCTCAGTACTGTTCCATGAGTGTCTCAATGTTGTGAATCAATCCAAAGTATTTATGACAATTTCTGTCAAAAGAAAACATTGCAGTGTTTCCTCGCCTACCCTGCTCACCAGACCCCGCACCATGCAACTTCTGGCTCTTCCCCAAAGTCAAAATAACTAGGAACAGTAAATGATTTGAATTTAGGACGTGGAAGCAGCCACAACAGTGCAACTAAAGACCCTCCTGAAAGAGGTCTTCTAGAACTGCTTCGGAAAGTGGCAAGGACAATGGGATAAGTGTGTTTGAAGTGAGGAGGAGTATTTTGAGAGAGAATAACGGCTATGTGTCTTTTACTAAAATTAAAAAAATAGTGTAAACATTCACTGCATTTCATGAGTATGCCTCAAAGCTCTGTGCTCCCAGGACCAGGTGGCGTCTGCATGTGCCATGAGAAAGTCAGTTTGGTGGAAATTTGCCTGGCAGGTGGCTTTCTCAGAATTCAGGATTAAAACCCAAAGTAATCTTTCAGTTCCAACAAATGAATATCACATTCTAGGGACTCTGAATAACTGACTTAATGGTTTACTATTCAGTAGTTCTTAATCATGTAAAAGTTTATGGAATTACAAGTCAGTCATGCAGAAGACCTAAAAGAATAGAAAATCTGTGTATTTCAGAAAATTTAGCCTCTTATTTTGATAATTGTACATTCATATGTGGTTGTAAAAGTAGTATAGAGAGATCCTTTACCCAGATTCCTTTGATGGCAACATCTTGCAAAATTACCTCACAATATGGTAACTGTGATATTAACAGTATACAACCAAGGTGCAGAACATTTCAACTGGGAGCCCCTTGTGTCTTTTTATAGCCATGCCTACTTCTCCTCCTCCCTTTTCCAACTCCTATCTTTAACCCTGGCCAACTAGTAATTTGCTCTCCATTTCTGTCATATTCTCATCTCACGACTGTTAAATGAATGAATGTCAGAGTGCTCAAAGTTTTGGAAAGGTGTCAGATTGCTGTCCAGAGTCTCTGCAGTGCTTTACATTCCATCCAGCAATTACAAGTGACCCACTTTCTTCACATCTTCTCCAGCATTTGGTGTTGTCACTGCTTTTTCATTTCAGCCATTCTGACAGATACGTAGTGATTTCATATGATTTTGACCTGTGTTTCTTTAGCAGCTAATGATGGTGAACATCTTTGCAAGGGTTTTCCTGTTATCATTGTGTCTTCTTCAGGGCACTGTCTTCTTAGGTAGCATGCCCATCTTCTAATTGGCATGTTTGGTTTGGTTTCTACTGTTGAGTTTTGAGAATTCTTTTATAGACTAGGTACTGACCCCCTGTTTGATATATGTCTTACAAATGCTGTTTCTTTGTCTACTGTTGTTTTTTTTTAAAACCCTCTTACAGGGTATTTTGCAGTATAAAACTTTAAAATTTTGAAGTCCAACATTTTTTTCTCCATTTATGATCATAACTTTCAGTATTATGGCTAAGAATTCTTGTCCAGTCCAGAGCCCCAGGATTTCCCCCCTTTTCTAAATATGATTTTTATAATTTTACATTTTATACTTGTCTATGATTAATTTTTGTTAATTTCTGTATAAAGTGCATGTGATGTTTAGGTTAAGGATATTTTTTCTTTCTTTTTTTTTTTAACCTGTTTATATCTACTTCATCTAGCACCATTGTTGAAAAGGCTCTTTTTCTCCTTCGAACTGTTTTTACTACTTTGTCAAAAGTAGTTGGGATTATTTGTGTGGATTTATCTCCAGGTTCTCTCTTCTGTTCCACTGGTCTATGTGTCTATTGCTCTGACAATACCAGACAGTCTTGGTTACTATGTAAGTTTTGAAACTGGGCGTATTGATTCCTAACAACGATTCATCTTTTCAAAATTATTTTACCTGTTCTAGTTCTTTGCTTTTATATATATATATTTTTTATTTTTTTTATTTTTTTTGGTTTTGGTTTTTCTCCGGTACCGGGAACCGAACTCACGACCTTGCGCTTGCCAGGCAGGCGCTTTTGCCGCTGAGCTAAATCCCCAGCCCCTGCTTTTATATATAAATTTTAGAATAATTCTGTCTCTATACATAAAACATGCTGCAATTTTGTAATTTTTGTAATTTTGCACCAAACCTGTATAAAATTTGGCAAGAACTAACATTCATGAATATGCTACGTCCAGGCATGTAGAGCCATCCTGGAATCCACAGAGAGTATGTTGAAGCCTGCTCCTCACTGTCATGGTATTGGGGTGAGGGAACTCGGGTGATAGATAGGTCCTGAGGGTGGAACCCTTGAGAATGGAATGAGCCCTTATAAAAAGAGATATGTAACCTCTCTCTCTCTTTTCTGATATGTGAGGGTACAACGAGAACCTGGACATTTCTGTGAACCAGGAAGCAGGTCCTCAAGATCCGCTGACACCCTCACCTTGGACTTCTCAATCCCTAGAAATGTGAGTAATTAGTGTGTCTTATTTCAGCCACTCAGTTTATGGTATTTGCTTATAGCAAGCTAAAACAGTGATTGTATCATATTGCATTCCTATAAGCAATATATGAATATTTCAACTGCTTCACCTCCTTGCCAGCAGTTACTATTGTCAGCTTTTAAAAATTTAAGTCTTCTAATAGTCTGTAGTACACATTTTTTGGGAGGTGTTTTTTTGGTTTTTGTTTTGTTTTGCTATCTACATGCTTTGTGGTGTAGTGTCCAAATCTTTTGTCTATTTTAAAAATTAGACTGTCAGTTTCTACTAATGGGGTTTAAAAGCATTTTAAATGTGGTCTGGATATGTATGCTTTGTTTTATATATGATTTACAAATATTTTCTTCCAATCTATAGCTGGTCTTTTTATTTTCTTAGCCTTTATCAGAAGTTTTACACTTTGATAAAGTTTAGTCAACTTTCCTTCATGACTTGTGATTTTGGAGTCAGATCAAAGGGCTCTGCTGTGAAAGTCTTGTGCTACATTTTCTTCTGAAAATTTTACAGCGTTAAGTTGCCCATTTAGATTTATGGTCAACTTTGTGTTAATTTTTGAAGTTAAGTTTTTTTTTTTTTTTTTTGCATATGACTGTCCAGTTGTTCCAGTATTATTTGTTGGAAAGTCTATTATCTCTCCATTGAAATTTCTGGCCTCTTGACAAAGGTCAATTGACCATGTTTGTGTTGGCAAGTTTTTGGATTCTGTCCTGTTCCATTGACCTATGTCTCTATCCTTGTGTGCTCAGTCGGGGTAATTTTGCTCTCCCCTTGTGGTAACATCTGAGGACATTTTTGATTGTCACTAGTGGGAAGACAGTGTGGCTGGCATCCTATGTGTAAAGTTCAGGGATGCTACAAACCATCCTGTGGGATATAGGACAGCCGCCACAACAATTATCTGCTCTGCATCTTTGTATTATTGAGGGTAGGAAATTCTTGCCTGTCCCTTTACCAGTCCCAAACTTTCACGATTACTGTAGTTTTCTAGCAAGTTTTAAGATCAGATATATGATTTTCCCAACTTTATCTTTTCCTTTTCAAAATTGTTTTAATTATTTCAATTCTTTTTCCTTTCAGATACAGATTTTAGAATAAGCTTGCTATCTCTAAGATAAACTTGTTGGGCTTTTTATTGGAATTGTATTAAGTCTAGATAACTTAGTGGAAACTGACATTTTCACCATATGGACCTGGTTCATGGTTTACTATATAACATGTATATTTGGAGCTTTTATAAATGGTATTTTTAAAATTGCCAATATAAAGTTGTAAACTATAATTTGTGTTGTAGTACACAACACATACAACAAACATGTGCTGGTTTTCTTAAGTTCTTATATCCCGCAATGAATTTAAACTCACTCTTAGTTCCAAGAATTTTTATATAGATTCTTGGAATTTTCTACACAAACAGTAATGCTATCTACAAGTAGGGATAGTTTTATTTTCCCTTCCCCAAGTGGATGTCATTTCCCTTTTTATTGTCCTATTGTACTGGGTAAGATCTTCAGTGCAATGCTGACTAAGGGTGGTGAGAATGGACATCCTTGCTATGTTCCTGACCTTAGGGGAAACAATCTCTCGTCAGTAAGTGTGATATTGTATGGAGTTTTTTCATGGACTCCTTTATCAGGTTGAGAATGTTCCCCTCTCCCTAGTTTTGTTATTGTTCTTGTAATGTTCTACTTCTTTGTAGCAATCAAAATGACTACGTGATTTTTCTTCTTTAATTTTCTAAGATGAGTGATCACACTGATTGATTTTAAAATGTTAAACCAACGTTGCTTTCACGATATTAAACCCTATTTAGTCAAGGTATATAATCCATTTTATATGATGTTGGATTCTATTTGTTAATATTTTGTTGAAGATTTTTGCATGTAAGCGTTCCATTTTGATTTGTAATTTTCTATTTTTTGTTTTAATGTTAGGCTAATGTTGCCTTGATTAAATGAGTATGGAAATGCTTTCTTCTATTTTTGAAAAAACTCTGTAGAATTTGTGTTATTTCTTTTCAAATATTGGGTAGGATTTGCTACTCAAGCTCTCTGGGCTTGTAGATTTTCTTTGTGAAAGATTGTTAAAAATACAAATTCAACTTCTTCAGGAGTTTCAGGACTATTCATGTTATCTGTTTCACATTAAGTCAGCTTTGGCAGTTGTTACTCTCAAGGAATCAGTTCATATCTCTGAAGTTATTGAACTGATCTGTGTAAAGTTTGTTGTTATTGTTCTTGCAATTCCCTTATTATCCTTTCAAATGTCTGTAAAGGAGTACATAATAATATCCTTGCCCACATTCTTGGTACTGCTAATTTTTTCTCTTTCTCTCTGGCAGTCTTGTTAGAAAATTATTAATTTTATCATTCTTGAGAAAGAACCAACTTTTTTGGTTCACCCAATTTTTCTCTTTTGCTTTTATGCTTCCAATTTCAGTAATGTTTATTCTTATTTTTACCATTTCTTCTGTTTTCGTTGCTTTAGATTTGTTTAGTTTATTAAAATGAAGTTTAGTTAATCAGTTTGAGATCTTTATTCTTTCTTAATATAAATATTCATTGCTAAAGATTTCCCATTAAGGACTGCTTTAACTGCATTCCATACAATTTTTTATGTTTTATTATTTTTATTTTCTTTTAGTTAAAATTATTTTTTAACTTCTTTTGAGAGTTTCATTATAATCTATGAATTATTTATAAGTGGGTTGTTTAATTTCCAAATGTTTGGAGAGCTTTTCTGTTATTTCTAGTTTCATGTGATGATTATCAAAGAATATATTTTGGTTCTTTGATGTTTGCTAAGGTTTGACTTATGACTCAGGACATGGCCCATCTTTCTGAATGTTCCATGTGCCCTTGAAAGAAAGTGTATTTTGATGTAGTTTGGTGGAATGTTCTTTAAAACTCAATTATATTAAGTTAGTGGATGGTGGTGTTGGGTTCTACTAGATCCTTGCAGATTTTTTTTTAATCTGACCTATCTACTGCCAAGAGAGGTTTGCTGAAGACTTCAACTATAATTGTGAATTAGTTTATTTCTCTTTGCCATTTTGTCAGTTTTAGTTTCATGAATTTTGAAAGTATATTATTAAGCCACAAACATTTAAGGTTATTATGTCTTCTTGATGATTTGATCCTTTTATTGTTATGTAATTTCTTTCTTTATTCTTGGTTGTATTTTCCTTTAGAGCAGGTCTGATGGCAATATATTTTTCAGCTTCCCTTTACTGAGAATATCTTATTTGACCTTCATTTCTCAGGAGTATTTCAGTGCACAGAGATACTGAGTTAATAGTTCTGTATTTTTAGTACTTTAAAAATATGCTATGTCTTTCTGACTCCATGATATTCTCATGAGAAACCTTCAGCCACTAGAATCATTATTTCCCTCTGAATTACATATTGGATTTTTTTCTTTTTTGGATGGTTTCAAGAAATTTTCATTGATTTTAGTTCAGTAAGCTGGTTATGTCTGATCTTGAATTTCATTGAGTTTCTCTAAATTTAAGCTTTGTCAACATTCTTGAACCTGTGAATAAATATCTTTTGTCAAAATTGGGAACTCATTAGCCACTTCCTCCCAAATATATACTCAGCATTACATTCTTCCTATTGTTTTCTCCTGGAACTCTGATGACGAGAAAGTTAGACCTTTTATTAGTAGTGTTCACATGCCTCAGGGCTTCATTCATTTTTACAAATATTCTTTTTCTCTCCATTGTACATATTAATTTATATTGATCTATTGTCACATTAACTGGCTCTTTCCTCAGTTATCTGCTACTGATCCTATGCAATGTATTTTTTAGTTTGGTTATTGCACTGTTTATTTCAAAAATTTTTAATTGCTTCTTTTTCATATCTTTTCTTTGGTGAAGCCATTTGACTTTTTTCATTTATTTCTAGTGTGTTTGTGATTGCTTGTTGGAGCACCTGTATAACAGTTGCTGTAAAGTCTTTTTCAGGTAATTTTAGCAACTATGTTATCATAGTGTTGATGTCTGTTTACTGCTTTTTACATTCAATTTGGTATTTTTCACATTAATTGTGTATCTAGTACTTTGAAGTGTATTTTGAACATTTTGAACTTTATATTATAGAACTATGTCTTAAATCGAATGAAAACTGCTTATATTTATATTGTAACAGGTAATCAGACTGGTATGATTCCAGCCACAAATTCCAACCTGACATGTGTGGGCACTGTTTCTAATGTCATTTTAGTTTTCAAAGCCTTTGCAGTGCTATTTGGATCTGTTCCATAAGTGTGTCATTCAGTGGTTAGTTTGGGACTTTGGCCATGGCCTTTGGGTTCATTCAATTCTCGGTCTTCGGCATGCTGATTAAGATCAGGTTCATGAATGCACAGCTTGGAGTGATCCCAAGTGTTCACAAACACCATGGGCCTGCTCTTCTGAGCCCCCCTCTGCTACCTCCTTATATTCTTCCTTTTCCCAGAACTCTATTTTTTGGCCCTCTGGCCTGACAATTGAGCTTCAGTTATTCTTTCCACCGTGTGTGTCTGTGACTTCACTTATATCTGGCCCATGTGACAGGAGGACTGATAAGGAAGAGAATGAGTGGAAGGATCTACATCTCCACCTATTTTAGAGGGAAGTGTCCTTTCCTCAGAGTTTTGGGTTTTCCTAGCTCCAGGTAGAGCCTCTGTCACTGCCCTCACTGGATTGCTTGGGGGGCAGGGAGCAGAAAACTGAGAGAAGGGGAGAAAAGAAGGAAGGAAGGCATGGAGAAAGGAAATGGCATCTCCATTTTGCATCTGAGTGCTAGGAACTCACTTTCTTCTCTTCTCAAGCCAGAGCAGAGGTCTTCCTAGAGCACTGACTATACCCCAGGGCTGCTGTTTGGGTTTCAGGCTGTGCTATGTTTAGGCCAGGGGACACTGGCGGGGAAAAACAATAAATTCACCTCACTACCATTGTAATACTTCAAATGCTAGCCCTTGCTTCA